GGTTTCAGGATTGTTGATTCTCTGTTTGGCTTAGTTTTTCGGATCTTTGTTGTGGAGGGACGGCGTGGTGCTTCTGCCTAGACCGCCATCTTGCCGGACTATGTGGTAACTCCATATTTCCTAAATTTCTTTATAAATTTGTTTAAGGTCACATTGGTTGGATTGCGTGTAATAAGAAATCTCATGTTCTTGTATGTGACGTCCACAGGAACTGAGCAGTTCATTCGAGCCATGCTAATTTAGTTAAAAAAACACTCAATAGGGTTATGAAAGAATTTTAAGAAGTGAATACAGAAATGATGTGAAGAAACTGAAGCCTACTTCAAAATACTCCACTTGAAATTCTCATTGCTTTGAGTATGATGTTGGGAGTAACGGAAAATGAAATGAACCTCCTAATAAGAAGCAGCAATTCTTCAATCCAGTAATACTGAGTCAACAGAAAGGAAGTGCACTGAGGTTTACCCTATCCAGGTCAGAACTCTTAAAAATTGCTCTGCAGATTTCAATTCAACACTTCTGTGACCAGGTTAACTGCTCTTATGAGGGCTTCTTGGTGAAGTAGTAACGAATTTCTACAGTTCACTTGTCTGCATAGAGGTCGTGCTGTGCCTGGCAGTAATCTCCACTGCCCTTCATAAACTCCATAACATAAATGTGTGACCAAGAACACCACAGAAAGGAATATGTTTACTCATTGACGACTGTGGCCGAATCATACAGCCGGTCCAGAGGCGGCGGCGACACAGGGGGCAGCAGTGGTAGTGGCTGCAGGGCAGGCGACGGCGGGGGCAACAGGCTCTACCATGCAGTGAGCGGCTCCGAAGAGCTGATGCTCCTTCTCAAAAGTGTAGTGTTCTGATCTTTCAAGGGAGTGTGAACTACAATGACCACATAAATTCAGTTTTATTCTCCAGATGTATTTACCAACCAATTTTATTGTACCATCTTCAAGAAAATCACCTTATTATTCAGAGATAGAACTTAGCTGTCTTAGATAAAAAAGATTTAACAAAGAAGAAATAGGTTGGCTTTTTTTAAGATAACAGTTACATTTGGGAGAAAAAAAAAGGTTGAAAGCTATTTCCAAGCCTTATATTTTTAACTTGCTGTGTAGGCATTGTTTGTTCAATTGTTTTTTTAAATAGAATAGTTAATGTCTGCAACAAACACAAAATTTTATTTTATGAACAATGAAAACAGGTTTATTTTATCTTCTTCTGGCCAACATAAATGTTTATAAACTCTTGTAGACATTTAATCAACAATAAAACTCTTACCTGAAATAAATTTATCTTTTTAAATCATTGATAAAATTATTCCATTTTATATCTTAACTATATGCAATGAAAGTATAGCTAGAAGGTAATGTATGTGTAGGGCAATATATAAGTGAGTTTATTTGTATGCACGCATATAAATGATGTGTAGATTTCTTAATATTATAAACATAGTTGTTAGGCATACGAGAAATGTGAAAATTTCTGAATACTCCCCATCCCCAATGCCCATGGAAGCAGCAGTCAAGAAATTAAACAATGTATTGCATTGGGTAAATCTTCTGCCAAAGACCTCTTTAAAGTGTTAAAAAGAATCAATGTCACTTTGAGGACTAAGGTGCTCCTGATATAAGCCATGGTATTTTCAATCTCCTCATATGCATGCAAAAGCTGGACAATGAATAAGAAATACTGAAGAAGAATTGATGCTTTCTAATTATGGTGTTGGCAAAGAATGTTGAATATATCATGGACTGCCAGAAGAAGGAACAAATTCATCTTAGAAGAAGTACAGCCAGCATGCTCCTTAGAAGCGAGGATGGTGAGACTTTGTTTGGCTCACATACTTTGATCATGTTATCAGGAGGGTCCAGTCCTTTGAGAGGGATGTCATGCTTGGTAAATTAGAGGGTCAGCCAAAAAAGGGAAGTCCCTCAACCAGATGGATTGACAGAGTGGCTGCAAGAATAGACTCAAGCATAGCAATGATTATGTGGCCAGCACACTACATGGCATTGTTTTGTTCTGTTGTACAGAGTGTCGCTATGAGTTGGAACCAACTCAAAAGAACCTAACAACAACAACCCCATTCCATATCGTATAACAAAGATATTCTCTGTGTCAATGTGTGTTCACTAAGTACTTCTGGATAACTCTATGTTGAACATTATAAAAGGTAACAAAACATTTAAGGACTTTATTATTTAATTAGTACATAGCAATTTATCCCTAGGGATCCGTCTAAAATGTCATGTTCTTTCTTACTTTAATTGATTCCATATCCATACACAGCTCTGTCATGACACTTAATATATGGTATTATATTTTATTATGTATGTGGGTGTCTCCTTTACATTGTCACCTCAATGACAGAGCTTCTATCTCTGTTTAGGCTTGTATCCCTAAACCAAAAACCAAACTCTCTGGTCCCTAGTCAGTTTCAACACATAGCGACCCTATAGGAAGGACAGAGTCGTGCTGCCCCATAGACTTTCCAAGGCAGTGAAGCAGATTGCCACATATTTCTCCTGAGGAGTGGCTGGTGAGTCCGAACCACCAACCCTTAGATTTGTAGCCAAGCACTGTAACCACTGTGACACCAGGGCTCCTCTTGTATCCCTAGCAGCTAATTAAGAGCCTGATATATAGTATCTGCTGAGTAAATGTTTATTTGTTGTAAGTAGGGATAGGATTGAATGAAAATTCTCACCCTCAAAAAAAAATTAGCATATAATTGGGAAGATAAGTTGCACCTGTGTGAAGCAATCCACGGCAGTATAAATAAAGTGCTCAATGAGGAGCATATGGCTTAAAGAGTTGAATGGATAGAATTATTTTAGTTTAAGCAGTCAGCTACTAAAAGAATCAGAAAGTGCATTAAATGTTCAAAATCCATTAAATGTACAAAATGATTCACTAGGAAGATGAAAACCTGCCCCCCTTCCATGTCATGAAGGAGAAAGGCATGCGTTTCCGTTTCCTTAGTGTAGTGCAGCACTGCTCCATCTTCAGTGTAAGATTTCTCTCTCATAATTTGGTGTTAATTAGCTAAAAATCCTACTCCCTTTTTTGTAGTTCAATATTGGAGACTTAAAGAGAATTATTCATTTTAAAAATTGGGTTAAATTGGATCTGATTTTAAATCCTATCATTTGTAGTACACTCAGACATAAATATGCTTCTGTAATAAAACAGCCTATATGTTTTGTAATAAAAATATCCTATAAAAGTCACTGCTTTGCATATATATATATATATTTTGCATATATAAGAGCCCTGGTGACTCAGTGGTTAAGATCTACGGTGGATAATCAGAAGGTCGGCATTTGGAATCCACCAGCTGCTCCTTGGAAACCCTGTAATGCAGTCCTACTCTGTCCTATAGAGTCTCTATGAGTAGGAATCCACTAGATGACAACGGGTTTGGTTTTTTGGTCACAGAGGTCCTAAAAAGTAGATAAATTAATGTTTTTATTTTTTTATTTACAATTGCATGAACATAATGAACATCTCCTTAATGTTATTTATATTTTTTTGATCATGGTGCAATACTATGTACGAGATGAAATAAGGTAGACACTTTCATAATTATTATACAAGAAAATATATTGATAGTTTAAGTTGATTTTTAACTTTTATAATTAGATATGAAAACAAAACTCTTTTTTCTCATGAAAATATGAAGGAACAATCATTTCAGCTCTTGCTTTTCCTCTACTTGTCTTTCTAAATTGAGCAAACGTGTACTTAAAGGAGTAAAAACAGATACAAAAATTGCTCTCTGGGATTGGTACTCAGATAATCCAATATATACTATGTCATCATGTGGAAGGTTACATATGAATTTTATGGTTCAAAAACAGATGAAGATATTTGAAATGAGTATTCGGAATAGCTACTATAATAAGCTTTTCAGTAATTGATAGTATAGTAGTGAAAAAAAACTCTCCGGCTTTATCGAAGTCAATTTCTAGAGATTTATTGAAGCTAAACTAACACTGCAATGGACAATCGCAAAACCTCAGTGTGAAGCTCATGAATCTCAAGGGAAAAATGAAAGTGACAAGTAATTATGATGCTGATGGGGGAGAATAAAATTACAGTAATCTCATTGGTTTACAGTAATTAAGGTCGGTCAAAGACAGGAAAGTAAAGCATAATCTTCAACAGTATTTGTTACATGAGAACCGTGATTGGCTGAAAGACATAATTGAATGACATGGGGCCAAGGGGAGTTTTATGTTGGTTACAAAGCAACAACATGATGGATATTTTCAGGAATGGTTTGTTAACAATAACCTTGTTCAGAGTGTTAGCTCTCTGGAGGAAGAGTGGAAACAAGGAGATTCCGTGATGTCAGAAACTAGAGGAGACTGAGATCGAAGAATTTTCATAAAGCAGTCACATTCCTGAGCATTATCAAGGAAAAAAAACAAAAACCTAACTTTCTTAATGATAATGGGTTGGTTCAGAGGCAACGAAGGCAGAATCTAGGAGAAAGATTATCTGTAGCTACTAGACAGCAAAGGTAAAATCTAGGTGAAAGATTGCATTTAGCTCTTAGAGTTAGTTCAGTCACTTTACAGATAGATCAGATGCCTATTTTTATTTTATATCCCTTATCAGTATACAGCCAGAATTTGATACTGCTGGAATATGTTTTATAAAATATAATTAAAATTTGTTATTATATATAATTATTATAATCATGATTATGGACTGTAATTTCAACTAGCTTGTTGTAGCACTTCTCATACCAGTCACTTAAATCTCTAGGAGGGTGTTGCTATAATTCTATAAAATATCCATCCTTATTACAAGGCAAACAAGGATATCTCCAAAGTACCTACGGAGGAGTCCATAACTTAACTCCTAATTGCACGGGATAAAACTTGACTAGAGTTTAAAGTAGGAGTTGAAATCAAATGATAATTTAACACAGGGCATGCTAAAGGGTCAGAATTTTCTTTAACTGAATGAGGGTTCTGGTGACAAATCCAACATGGTGTCAAATTCCAGCCCTTGCTATACATTGTGATAATTGGACAAAAGTATTTTCATTCCAAGTATCTGTTCATCTAACAAATGAAAGAGTAAATAAATAAGCATTCAACATCATTCTGAATTGAAAGAAAATGTATTAATATAGATTAATAAAGTGACAAAGTATATAGCAAATAACAAAATATCTAAATTGTACTTTTGAGTCACTCATCCAAGGGAAGAGGTCAGTT